TCTTGTTTTTATTTGGTACAGGGTCTTGCTACACAGCTCAAACTCATAATGATCCTCCTGTCTCAGCCTCCCTAGCACTGGGATTACAGATGTGTGCCACCATACCCAGCTTTGGTGGTCTGCATGGCACACTCGAGGTTCCAGGGTGGGCAGGGCATAGGGTACCGGGGATTGAACCCTGGTCCTTGTGCTTGCCAGACAAGTGCTTAGATCACCAAGCTATCTCCCCAGCCCAGTAAGTGTTCAAATCTTTGGCATCTGTATAATTGAATTTTTCTCTTTGTAAGAAATGAAGTTTTGTTTTATCCTGGGTTTAAGTGATCCTTTGGCCTGAGCCCCCTAAGTAGCTGGGACAACAGATGTGCCATCACACCCACTGAGTTGTTTCTTTTCTACTCATTGATTTTTGAGAGGTGTCTACATAATCTGGATATGTCTTTTTTGTTTGTTTAAGTATCTGCCTTTGTGTTATTGACTGCTAAATTTTTTATAAGTTTGATTTTGTTCAAGCCTGGGTTTATATTTTCATTCCAATAGTGTTTTTTTCATTTTAAAGAGAAAGAAAAAAAAACAATTAAAAGATACAGAATTTTATAAGATAATAAGAAATTAACAGTAGTTATATTGCATATAGTTATTTTCTAAGTAGTGCTCAGCTTATAAGATGTAGGCATGCAAAACTGATCAAACAATATACACACTAACTGTTGTTCTTTTCTTTTTTTCACAACAGAAAGATATGTTTTATTTTTTAAAAAAACAAAAAACACTATCAGAAAGTCTAATTAAATTCTATGTTAACTTCAGCTCTTAAAATTCTTCAGAAAAGCTAACAGAGTGTATGAAAGAAAAGCAGGCAGCTGCTGACAATTCTTTGGTGGAAAAGTAAGTTGCATGTTTATTATACAAGCTGCCCTAATGATCACCAAGCCCAAGTTTTGTTTTTCAAAAAGAGGTTTCAACCTATGCTAAGAAACGACATAGATACCCCTAACAATATGATAATTGAACAATGAAGTTTAAGGATGTACAAAAGCCAACCAGGACAATACACACAAATAATTTATGAAATAAGCCTTTCCATCCTTGAAAATTAAAGTGGGGAGAACTCAGTAAAGGGTACTGTACATAAGACAGGGGCAGCAGCAAATGGAACAACCCTAAACATTTCTCCAAAAAGACAATCAGTAATATATAGTTTTTTCCTTCTCCTCAGCCAATATAGTTCTCTTCAGATAAATTTGGTTACTGAGCAATAAGTACAGAAATTAATTTTCTTCCTCTAGTCAGTTACCACTTGTATTAGTCAGAGTTTTACTGAAGGAACAGATGTAATACAAGGAACAGATATAGCTAAAGATGTACAAATGTATAAGAAATTACAAGATTGGCTTACAGCGGTCAGCCTCAGAGTCCGATGAGGAAGGAGGGCATCTGCACACCCTAGACTGAAGGATTCAGTCCTGAGGTCTGAAGCTCACTGCAGTGTTTTGTGCAAGTCTCTGACAGTTTGCCGAAGGGTCTGTGATGGAAGACTGAGGAATCTGCAATGGAAAGCTGAAGGATCCAAGCAGGCGGCCGAAGAGTCTGCACTGGAAGCCAGGAGATGATGTCCAGTCTGACTGCGAAGACTGAAGTTCCTCTGAGGAAGTGGAACACCAAATCCTTCCTCAACCCCTTTTTAATGCCCTTTTTGTGCTGAGTCACTCTGGGGCAGGCCCTCCCTACCTTAAGGCCGGCTGCTCCACACTCTAGGATGAGCCCTACCTGCTCCATGGCCCAGGGTGTGAAACCGCAAGACAATCTAGCCAAGTTGACACAAGGTTTTGACCATTATACCACCATTTCTTCTGTTTCATCTTTTTCATGGTTTTCTCTGGCAACATTTTTCCTTTGGTTTGACTAGTTGATCTCAAAAGGCTTAGAATCTAAAATACATATTTCAACTCTTATTGGAGTAGAGTTGGGAAATGCAGTTCTAGAAAAGGCAAATTCTTAACTTAAGTGGTTTGATGCAGTTAAGCATCCATTCTCAATGTGACAGTATCTTCAATGTTAATTGCTAAGATAATGGCTTCTCTTGGCTGGATTACATGACCCAGCATGCCCTGGGGTGCTCCTGGTGAATCCTGCAAAGCCGCATGCACACATAACCACCTACTTAAACTTTCAATAAATGCAAAGCATATTTTGAATCATTTCAGCAGAATAAATAAAAGTCTTGCATTTCTATTGGCTGCTTTGTTTCCCGTCTGGCTCACAGTGCTGTTCATGGCATGACAGACACACAGTTAATTGGTGGCTACTCAAGGCTCTACGATCTTCAGCACTTCCTGCTCTTCAGGCCTCAGCACTTTTTTTTTTTTTTTTTTTCCAGCAATCATGGTATTCTTCATTAGCATTTCCACTGTCATGGAACCAGTGCCCCCAGGGACTGGAGAGGTATGACTGGCTTTCTTTTTGACTTCTTCAAAATCTACATCTCTCACCAACTTGGGTGTAGAAGTTATAGGATCTTGAATTGTGTTTATTTCCACATTGACGACTGCTGGTCCGTCTTTGATCATATCTGCTGTAATTGGATTTAGAATACCTGCAGCAGATACTACAATATCTTCATGAATTGTGTTTCTTCAGTTGTTCTTCAGGAGCATAGCGATGAGCTATTATAACAGTGGCATCACCTCCAGGGTGTCCGTGCGCCCCATCTGTGTGCAGTAACATTGCTGTTGGCAACCCCACATTTTGTGATCACATTCTTTCCAGGGTGGGAAGGCCAGTTCACTTAATTATTTCCCATACACGCAACAGGGTAGCTGGCAACATGGAATAAAGGTCCAAACACATTCACCCCACATGAATTACATGAAAACCAACAATGTCCTTGTCTGAAGAAACAGCGTTGCAGATCCTCGTCTCACCAATATGCTCAGGCAGAGGCAGCTGAACAAGGAAGGTACACATGTTTCCACCTTGCGTTTATTAATCAAATTCAACAGCTCTTCATCTGAAATTGAAGCTGGTTTCACAATAGTCCTGGTGTGTTGATTCCTGCATCTGCAGCTGCTGTGGTGTGTTGAGAACGTAGGAGAGACTTGCAGGTTTCTCACCAACTGGAACCACGCTCAGGTGTGGCCGCTTGTTGCCTGTGGCCACCCACTCCTCCTCCTAATATCATGACTCCTGCTTGATCTGCTGGGCCAGTTTCCTTCCAGTAATGACAACAGCTTCATTTCCAGGTGTGGTGAGATGGAAAGAGTGACAGCGAAGATGGCAGCTGCACATGGACCTCATCAGCTGGGGGCCAAAGCAGACAGGAGAGAGGCTGTGGCAGCACATGTGCTGGTGCTGAGCCCTGAGCTATTCCTTTCACTGAGCTAACAGAAAGTAGTGGTATAATTATCTTACTTGTCTTGTGTATATATGTATATATTTTTTCTTCCC